AGAGGTACAGTGGGGACAGTGGTAGGGACAGTGGGGACAGTGGTGGGAACAGTGGGACAGCTCAGTGGTTCGAACCGGTAGTGACCCCCCCCTCCGGTTTTCGAGGGGGGGGGGGTTCGAACCGGTAGTGACCCCCCCCGGTTTTCGAGCTCGAGGGGGGGGGGGGGTTGGGGGAGGGGGGGGGGTTGCCGGGGGAGGGGGGGGGGGGGGGATTTTCGGAAGGGGGGGGGACCCCGGGCTCCAAAGGAACAGGGCGGCAATTTTCCACAGTAAAGCGGCGGTGGATCACGCTCTCTCTCTCTCTCTCTCTCTCTCTCTCTTATATATATATATGTATATGTATGTATACATATACATATACATATATATACATATATATATATGTATTTGTATATGTTTATGTATATACATATATATATATATATGTGTAATTGTTTTCGCGTATCCGCGGGCAGGGCTTTGGCCCGCGAGGCCGTGGATACGGATATGCGCTTCGCCCACGAAGGGCCTCCCTCGCCTCCGCCCCCGGCGCCCCTGAGGGCGGACGTATCCAAAAACGGGAGTCCCGACTTCCATGCGCAGAAAGGGGGCCATCGCCATTTCGTCCCAAACCCAGCCGCCAGCGTGGCGTCCGCTTTCTTCGCACCCGCTCGCGCCCCGCTCAGCCTCGCACCGGTCGCCTCCGCCATTCGGCAATGGTGCTTGCCGCGTCCAAGGCTTCTCGCGGCGTGCACAAGGCAATCACTGGAAACTCGACCGCCTCCCAGCACCCGCGCCCGCCCCCGCGCACACAGGACGAATGCCCCGTTTCACGGGACTCCCTGAGAGTTGGGACACCAGTTCCTCTCGCGTTCCCTCTGGTCAACTTGTTCCTCCTTGTCTTTTCTCCCACATCTTTCTCGTCATCCGCGTCCTCGTCCTCCTCCTCTTCCTCCTCGTCATGTCGTCCTCCTTTCGTCCTCCTCCCTCGCCTTCGCTCTGTCCTCTTCCTCCCGCCTTCGCCCTCCATGAGCTGCCCTGTCCTTTTTTATCGTCCATCCCCGCTCTGACCCCCGCCCCCTCCCTCCTGCGCCTCCGCATTGCTGCGTTTCACAAGGCGCCCGAAAAATTCCATGTGGAGGAGGGCTTCTGGGCGGCGGTGGCCGCGAGTCCAACTTGCGCGCGCCCACGACGACGCGCGCAGGGGCGGGGCCGTCAGGGCTTCGATCGTGGATTCCGCCGGTTTCATCCGCCTCACAGCGGGCGTTTTGCACTTCTACGCGACGCTCGCGGCCAAGGCTTTGGCATTGCATTCCGACAAGTTGCCGAAGGTCCTGAAGCGAACCTCGGTCGACGTGCGCCCTTTTTCCGGCGCCCTTCCCGATTGCCATCGCGCCTAGTGCCGCGCCAAGTGCCGCGCGCGCCGGAGTTGCGTCCAACGTTCCACGCCGCGCGCCATTGCCCTCGCGCGCAGCGTTGGTCCGCAGCGCATGGACGTACTTCCGCCGAACGCCAACAGTTTCCGCAGCCTGGCGGCTGGATTCAGCATCGTTCTCCTCTCGTCCAACTCCCCCTCCCCGCGCTCCATCTCCGGCCTCGCCCCCGCGCCCTGTCGCCGCCGATCCCGTCGAGGGCCCTTGTCAATTCAGGTCGGGCTTCCGTCGCGCCCGTGGTGGCATAGAACACTCCGACCAAGAAAATCCTCGACCGCGCGACGTCGCCTTGCTGAAGTCGTTGTTCGAGAACGCGTCTAGCAGGCCAACTTCAAGGTGCTGGCGGCCAACGGCGGTGATGGGTGGAAGGTGGCGAGCGAGACCAGCACGTCCCAGGTGCTCCACGCGCTGCCGCGCCCCTGCCGACCCCCCACCCAAAATGCAACCGTGGCCTTTTTCGCAAATGCACTGGGCCCCTCCTTGGCCGGCCCGCCGCGGCACTGGCATCCTACGCCCAGCGCCTTGACGATTTGCTGTCGCAGTCGGCGCAGATGGGTCTTCCGCGCACTGGTGCGCGCCCGCCGACCCCTGCCATCCAGACAAACACGGCCACCGACGACGGGCGCGACGCCCTGCCTTCCTGACCAGCCACGCAGCGACTGCCACGCCCACTGCCCCATCGCGGGTGGCGCGTCCTCAACCGCACGGACACGAAATGCAACGGAGAGGCGTTCAAGGCGACGGACATGTACATTTCCAGGGTGCGCTTGGCCTCGAACCCTTCCAGGGACGCGAAGCACTCTTTCCTCAACTGGGCCAGGGCTGGCCTTGCGGCGCCCTCCCCGACGCCGCCCAGCGCATGCTTTGCGTTTCTTTCAAGCCGTTGCCCCCATTTACATGCGCGCAGGCGCGCCGTGTCGTCGAGCGGCGTTGCGCCGCGCAGTTTGCCTCGCAGCGCGTTGCTCTGCGGTGGCGCGCGCTGCCGTGCGGTGCTGTGCCGACCAGCGCGTCCATGGGCACCTCCAATGCGTGCCGCGTCGCTTGGTGCCGTGCTTCGTCGCGGCCTGCCTCTCGGCGCCGTTGCGTGGGTCTTCTCGGGGAAACGCGGTGCCCGGTGCGGCGCGATGCCGCGCCGCTTCGTGCTCCGCGTTGCAGTGCCGCAGAAGCCCGTTCCATGTGCCAGCACTGTGCCGCGCGCCCGACGCCATCCGAGGGCGCGTGCCATGCCGCACGGCGCCGTATTTTGCCGCGCGGGATCATTTGAGGCGCAGTCCCGTTGGCAACGCCACGCGCGCCTGCATGTCGCCTAGAGGGCGCTTCCGTGGTTTCCAGGACAAGGCGCAGGTCACCGTTGAGCAGATGAGCCCCGGGGCCGCGTGGGTTGACCCGCAAGCGGACGCCGACGCAGCCGGGGACTCCGGCCCAGCGCGCAAGCGCCCCGCCGCGCGCCGTGGCTACGAGGCCCGCCCGCTCAGCAGCCGGCGGCGGCGGCGCTCGCACGACCTCGGGGTTTCCTAGATGTCGTCCTGGAGGATGTGGTCCCGAGGCGCCTCTCAAGGCGCCATGCGCTGTCTTCTGCCTCTCGAGGGGCCCTGCGGCCCGCGTCATCCAAGACCACACTTTGAAGGCCCCGGCGCTCACCTTTTTTTCAACCTCTGGCGGCCGAGATCGCCATAGTTCGGCAGTGAGACCCGCTCTTTCGCGCGCGGCACTAATCTCGCGCACGCAACATGCACGCGCACACGTTGACACACACACACACACACGCACACACACGCACACACACACACACACACGCACACGCACACGCACACGCACACGCACACGCACACGCACACGCACACGCACACGCACACGCACACGCACACGCACACGCACACGCACACGCACACGCACACGCACACGCACACGCACACGCACACGCACACGCACACGCACACGCACACGCACACGCACACGCACACGCACACGCACACGCACACGCACACGCACACACGCACACGCACACGCACACACGCACACGCACACGCACACGCACACGCACACGCACACGCACACGCACACGCACACGCACACGCACACGCACACGCACACGCACACGCACACGCACACGCACACGCACACGCACACGCACACGCACACGCACACGCACACGCACACGCACACGCACACGCACACGCACACGCACACGCACACGCACACGCACACGCACACGCACACGCACACGCACACGCACACGCACACGCACACGCACACGCACACGCACACGCACACGCACACGCACACGCACACGCACACGCACACGCACACGCACACGCACACGCACACGCACACGCACACGCACACGCACACGCACACGCACACGCACACGCACACGCACACGCACACGCACACGCACACGCACACGCACACGCACACGCACACGCACACGCACACGCACACACACGCACACGCACACACGCACACGCACACGCACACGCACACGCACACGCACACGCACACGCACACGCACACACACACACACACACACACACACGCACGCACGCACGCACGCACGCACGCACGCACGCAGACACACACACACACACACACACACACACGCGCGATTCGTTTTTGCTTCTGGCGCCCCGGCACCGCTTGCACCCGCTGCTCGTGGCATAATCATCACTCGTCACCACGTCATGACTCATGCCCGCCCTTCCTGCCAGCATCCGCGTCACCCTCCCTCCGTCCCCCCCGCCCATACCCTTCCCCTTCGCTCCCCCATCCCGCCTGGTGTGCCGAGCTGTTTCGAAAGGCCCCTCTGCACCGTTCACCTCCTTTTCCCTCCCCCCTTCCCTCCCTCCTTCACCCTTCCTTTTCCCCCTTTCGCAACCTTTCCATTCCGCCGCGGGCTCCTCCCGTGCCAACCCAACTAAATGGATCAAGGATCCGTCGGCGCAGCGTAGCAAGCAGGTGAACATTTGTTTGCAGTTCTGTTCTTACAGAATTCGCTTTTAGGAGGACATGCCCGACATAAGCAAGCGCTGACAGAAACCTCGAATTTCTAGGATCCGCGCGGGTTTCCCGGATCTGCGTTGGAACCTCTTGGCGGCGCATTCGGCTCCGCCCTTGGCGCACTCTGCGCGCCAGGGGCGTGGGCCCAGTGCCGATCCAAGATGTCCGCATCCACCTCTGAAGGTTCGTCTCTTCCCACCTCCCCACACGGCGGCCCCCTAGCAGCCCCGACGGCAGAGACCGTTCAATTTTGAACTTCTCGTGCAATGACAGAAGGCTGTACCCACACCCGCGCCATCATGATAGGGTCCAGCCGCGTTGTGTGCACCAGCTCGCCCCTCGCTGATCGCTGTGATCCTGTGGTGTGCCATCCGTGTTATTACATGTATGTGTTCTCGCGCCATGTAGTAGCGTTTCTTGTTGGTTATGAGCGACGGCCACGAGTGGTCTTGACGTTGCGAGGCATCGTTAGCAGCCTCGAGCATAGTTCCCGATTCCCTGTGGAGTGTTGTGCTTATCGCGCGCCTCCTACCGGTTGGATCGATCAGCCACCATCTCCTGCACGCGTTTTGTGGGTGGCAACGGGGCCAGGCCTTGGAGCGTTGGACGTTGGTTCTTTGGCCGCCGAGCCCGTGAACGCCCTGTCCGTTCCGAATTGGATTGTCCACTGGTCGCCTAGTCGGGAAGAGCAGGGAGGAGGAGGGGAAGAGGACCAAGAGCGAGAGAAACAATCAGCATGGGTGCCATCTGCAATCACATGACCCATTCTGGTTGATGTGCGCAAGGTCGCTGTCAAAGTGTATCGTCGGAGTGCGATCCAATGGCAGAGAGAGAGAGAGAAAGAAAGAGAGAGAGAGAGAGAGAAAGTGGAAGAGAGAGAGAGAGAGGAAGAGAGAGAAAGAGATGAAAGAGAGAGAGAGAGAGCGCAATTCAGTGTTGGCGGGCCCGAGGCGCCGCCTGGCCCCGCCGGACTCGAACAGATACCCTCCCCGCGTCGAGCCCGTAGTATGCCCAGGAACGCCCAGGATGGTTGCACGGGCCTGGGACCCCCCCCCCAACAACCCGCAAGACCACCTCAAGACGGCCCAGAGCTTGTCAGAGCTGCTCGAGGAGGGTTTCTCCGAAGGGCTTCGGCGACCCGTTCTCCTCGGCCTCCTCTTTCTACTCGTTCTCCTCCTCCTCCTCCTCCTCCTCCTCCTCCTCCTCCTCTCCTCCTCCATCTCCTCATCCCCCTCCCCCTCCTCCTCCTCCTCCTCCTCCTCCTCCTCCTCCTCCTCCTCCTCCTCCTCCTCGGGTCGCCTACGGCCCCGGGCGAGACCGTGCAGGCCCCAGGTGAGTGCCGAGGTGTCCCCACGAGGCCCCAACATGGATCTGGATCTTGAAAAGCCGTGAAGGCCATTGGTTGTCACGCAGTTTTGGCAGTCTTCATGTCTAAGCTCAAGATGTTTCGAACAATTGTTCGGAGGGTTTCAAGAGGCCTTTCGAACCCAAGAGCCCGCAAGATTGCCAAAGATGGCCTGAGATGATCTCCGATCCCAAGATTGCTCCCAAAAGGCTCCAAGACTGCCCCAGACCGCCCCAAGATGGCCACATAAACCTTGAGATGGCCCACAAACACTCCAAGAAGGGTCAGCGAGGACCCAAGGGACCCGCAGGCAACCCCAGAGGCCCTCCGAGGGCCCCAAGAGAGCCCAAGAGCGTCCCCAGAAACTACCAACAGAGCACCAAGAGGGTCCAGAGAGTGCCACGCGACGGGGAAGGCCAGCGATGTCGCGACCTCTCAAGGTAAAGGCGCTGTCAATATATCCGTGTGTTTGTCTGGTACCTGAGCTGTCGAAGAGTGCGTATGGGTTCCTTATTCGTTGTTATTCCGTTTCTTTCGGCGCATCTTGTCAGTGCGTGTTTCCGCGCGCGTATAGTGTTTCTCTTCCCGCGGCTCCGTGGATTGAAACAACGGGGTCGCATTAGTATGCTTGATCACCTGACCGCGGCAGTATGGATTCAGTGTTGCAAGTGGGCCCGTCCTGTGGGTGTATTTGGGCCATTGTGAGGTTGCCCGTGGGGCCTTTTGGTCCTTCTCGGGCCCATTTGGGCCGTTCTGAGGTTTGAGGGCGGGTCTGGAGGCTCTGTTGGGCCGTCTTTGGGTCTTGTCGGTTGCTCGGAGCCCCGCTGGGGCCCTCCCTCTTGGGCGTATTGGGGTCTTACATGGGCTATTTGGGGCACTTCTTGAAGTAGTCTTGGGCCCCTCCTCGGGCCCGTTGCGGCGCCTTGTGGGCCATATCGGGGCGAGCTTGGTGGCCTCTTGGAACGTCGTGGAGGCTCTGAAGGCCGAGAAGGCGAGGTTCCCGAAATCGCTAAACGACTTTATGGGAAATGAGTAATGTATCTCCGGGGCCCCTGAGGGGTCCGCTTCCGGCCCCCTGTGGCCGTCTAGGGAGCTTGATGCCTGGTGGTGGTATCTTCGTGTCCTCTTTGGGCCTCCTGAACCCTCTTGGGGATTTCTTGTTGTTGTTAGGCTTTGGAGGCGCTGGGCGCGGAGCTCAAACCAAAATCTTGGAGAACCTTGGGCCCTCCCAGGGCGCTCGGGACGCAACCTGCCTGGCCGCAGTTCAAGTTGTGGCGGATCAGATATCTACGAATCAGGAAATTGCTTGTGTCAATAATGTCGTATCATACATACGCATATCCGCATGTATGTGTAATGTTGCTTTTGTCGGATCGTCGCCGAACGAATCCAGTGTTGCAAGGTGGTCCTCCCTGAGGATCTCTTGGGGCTGTTCTAAGGCTGTCTGGGGAGCCTGTTGGGTCGTCCTGGGGCTCTTTTGAGCCTTTTCAGAGATCTCTCACAACTGTCCTTGGCGGCCTGGAGGCCTATTGCGCCGTTTAGGGGCTACCGTCGGCTGTTCGGAGCCCATCCGGAGGCCCTCTAGGGGCCTTCTTGGGCTATATCGGGTGCCTCCGCATTCTTCTTGGGCCCCTCTTGGGTCTCTCTTGAGGCCCCTGTCGCCTTTCGGGTCCTCTAGAGGCGAATTTGGGGGCCTTCTGGGCGTCTTGGTGGCTTTGAAGCCCGAGAAGGCGAGCGTTAAGTCGGCCCTGTTCCTCTACAGGGGATCTATTCAAAAATGGTGAAAAATAGTCTGGGGACGATTTGCGTAGTGTTTTGCGTATTGTTTGAGTATGTCTCATTTTGCGGCCAGAACCTTTTGAGATGGGGGACACGCCCGACCTAAGGCGAGCGTGTCAAAGTCATAGAAATCAATGAGGATCGCGTCTTGGGGGCCGAGGGACATGTTGGGCCCTCTTGCGACCATCGTGGGCTGTCGTTGGCCCACCTTGATCGTCTTCGGGGTCTCTCCGGGACAGCTTGGGCCGTCCTGGGCCTCGTATACACGCATAGGTGTCTATACATATATAGAGAGAGAGGGAGAGAGAGAGAGATATAAACAAAACAAGCAAAACAGAAGGGTAAAGGGGCAGAGAGAGAGAGAGATACAGAGTCAGGTAGCTCACCATAGGGGGTGCATCGGACACGTGTGTGTATGTACGTAGAGGCAGAGAGGGAGGGAGGGAGGGAGAGAGGGATACAGAGAGAGAGAGAGAGCGATACATATATATATAGAGAGAGAGAAGGGGGGCAGGGGGGACAGAGAGAGAGAGAGACAGAGAGTCTGGCATGCCCCCATTGGAGGTACATCGGACATGTGTGTGCACGTAGAGGCAGAGAGGGAAGGATTGAGGGAGGGAGGGAGAGGGATATATATATATATATAGAGTGAGCGAGAGATAGAGGACAGGGAGGAAGAGAACAAGAGATCGTGATACAGAGAGAGAGAGAGAGACACACACAGGGGAGAGCAAGCTACGGAGAGGGAGAGAGAAGCTTATCCCGGCGAAGGACCCAACCACGTGGAATTGTGAGTGCGGCAAGGCAGTTGGAACGAAGGACGCGGAGCTCCTTGTGGGGCGACGAGACGTGTGAGGGTATGCCGACATGGGCGGGGCGGCGTATGTGGACACCGCCGCGAAGGCCTTCTGTTGAGTTCCCTAGGGGCAAGCTGCGACACGCTGAATTGGGCGGCGCGGACGCATGTGATCACAGCCACTGGGGACTTCGGTGGAGCCCCTTATGGGGCCACGAAGCGCTGAACTGGGTGGCGCGGGCGCATGTGATCAAAGCCATGTGGGCCTTCGGTGGAGCCCGCCATGGGGCCACGAAACGCTGTACTGGGTTGGCGCGGGCGCATATGATCATAGGCCTTCGGTGGACCTCCTTTTGGGGCCACGAAGCGCTGTACTGGGTGGCGCGGGCGCATGTGATCACAGCCATTGGGGCCCTCGGTGGAGCCCCCTTATGCGGCCACGAAACGCTGTACAGGATGGCGCGGGCGCATGTGATCACAGCCACGGTGGAGCCCCCAAGGGGGCCACGACGCGCTGTTCTTGGTGGCGCGGACGCGTATGATCTCAGCCATTGGGGCCTTCGGTGGAGCTCCCTATGGGGCCGCGAAACGATGTACAGGATGGCGCGGACGCTTGTGATCACAGCCACTGGGGCCTTCGGTGGAGCTTACAGGGCCACGAATCGCTGTACTGGGTGGCGCGGGCGCATGTCTTCGGAGGAGCCCTCTATGGGCCACGAAGCGCTGGATGGCGCGGGCGAACGTGATCACAGCCGTTGGGGCGTTCGGTGGAGCTCCCCATGGGGCCACGAAGCGCTGTACTGGGTGGTGTTGAGCTGTTGGACATGCGGAGGGCAGAGGCAAGGGTGGGCGGAGGGGGACGAGGTAGGGGAGGATGAGAAAAGAAGAGAAGGAGGCACGCGGGGCGCTGCTTCTTCAAATCGAGGACCCAAGACCACAGGACGTTAGAGAAAAACGTAACACACAACAACATAACACGCCTATGCAGGTTCATATCTGAATGTGGTAGTCTTTCATCGTGCAAAACCCTGGGGCTGCGATTCATTTGCGCTACTCGTTCGGCTACGTTGCCACGGAAACAATCGACCATACTCGTTCTTGCATGTCACGAGTGGTATGGCGGGGGGGGGGGCTCAAGATCGTTCAACAAATGTGTCAACATCTTTCAGCGAACATTGACCTGTCCACCTATTCATACGGACATTGAAGTCAAGAGCGCGAGAGGTCTACAGTCTTCGAATTCCTCTTTGCGATGACCTTGGCGTGGCGATATGCTGATGCATCAGGCAATCCAAGGTGGGAACAATCGACCGCTTGTAGCATTGCCGTATCCTTGATGTGGCACCAAGAGAATAGTTACATAGCTCAAGGGAAGCATCGGTAGACACGCGTTAGTCAGGCCGCATCGATTGCGGGAGTCCACAAAGTTCATAATAGGTTGCATATACTTTTCGACGGGTTGTCCGAAACCGGCTTGGCAGTAGCGGATAATGAGAGAGTTCAGTGCGTGGAGCGTGTTCTTTGTACTTAGACGCTTGCTTCGCCACTACTTTTCGTACATGTTGCAAAATGTAGATGTATCCACATCCAGTCTGCATTCTCTTCTGATATATTGTCTTTAAATAAAGGTCATCAAACCTTGTGCGCCTTGGTAAATCTGTTTCGTGAACCTCGTCCCACCCCATGGGGCTCTATTTCTCAAGCCCCATGGTGCCCACGGCCAGCGACCAGGGGCAGACAGATCCCCACGCATTCCCGTCGCTGGCCGCCCCGTCCTCCTTGACATCGGCACGCGCTCCAGCGCTAGAACTGCTCGTGGGCGTTACAGTTCAGAAAGCGTGTGTTTCGCGGCATTTGTTTTTGGAGGGGACCAGTACACCCCCCCTCCCCCCGCGGTGCAGAGGGGAGATGGTGATTCAGTACTCCCCTCCTCTCGTCCCAGGGGGGGGGGGGTAGAAACTGAGCGCCATCCCAAGCTTTCCGCGCTTGGGGTCGTGATTCTGCGCCCCCGCCCTTTGCGCCGGCAAACGACGGCTGACGATGACGACGAGCCCGCCCGACCGACGTACCTTAGTGTCCCGCCAGCACGCTTGCTGTAATATCCAGCCGGCCAGAGCTGTGTGCTTCCATGTCTTGACCTACCCTCCCGCTTCGTCGCAGTCATCGCCGTCGTCGAGGTTCGTCGGGGGCGTATGCGTCGTCGCTCGCTGGCGCGAGGGGGGTGGGTTGGGATATAGACCCCCCCTCACCCTCCTGCACGACCCGCCCGAATGTCTGGCCCGCCCGCCCGCTCTAATGTCCCGCTTCGACCGACCTGCCCGCTTCAATGTCCCGCCCGCCCGCCCGATCCGCTTGAATGGATCGCCCGACGCGCCCGCCCGCTTGACGTCTCGGTCGCGTCGTCATCATGAGCTCTCGTCCTCGCATTCGTCGTCTTTGTCGGTCGTCGCAATCGTCGAGATCGTCGGCGTCGGCGTCGTCGTCGATTGCGGGCGCGAGGGGGTGGGGGGCGGCGCGAGAGCGGGGAGGAGAGGGAGGGGGGGGCTTGCCTTTGTTGTTCAGGGGGGAGGAGGATTGCTTGCTATGTGTTCTAGCCCAGCCCTTCGCTAGAAGCGCATGGGAAAATAGCATTCATATCTCGCTTATGGTTTGTCTCGTGCCGTGGTCCTGGGACTGGCCTTGAGAGACGCTGCGGAGCGAGTGCCTGTATTGTGTGATTCCTCGTTGTGGGTCGGGGTATTTGTTCTGTCTGAGGGTGGGACACAGAGGGCGGTGGATTCCGCGACGCGAGGATGCGTTTCACAGCACAGCACAGCCTGGAATTTCGCAGCGCGCAGAAATTGAGCGACGAATTGCTGAGCGGGACGTGCAGGTTCGGATGAATGTGAAGGTCACGCGTTTTTAGCAGCAGGGCTAGTCAGTCTATGTTGGCGTCAGGCTGCACGGAGGTTTGCCCTTTTCCGAGCTTCCTATTCGTGCTGGCCAGAGCGTTGGTACCCAAACTAATGTCACTGGCCCCCATGCATTTCGACTCAAAGGGTGTAGAGGGCCAAATGTCAGGAATGTGAATTTGCTCCTGGCGCTGGTGGTGTTGTGTGTTTTGCCTGGGCAATGCCTGGTCATGCGTCACCATGCCATGTCATGCTGTGTTAAGCCATGCGGTGCAAGAATCGTATATGTTGCGCCGTGCAAGTATTTACCAAGTCCTGGCAGATGGCAATGCTACACGACATCAGGGTGTTGTACTCAATGTTGTCAAGTGTTGGTTCGGCACGGTATGGTTGGCGGTGCTATGTTATGCATTGTTTTGGCGTGCAACGGCTTGCACTGCATGGCACATCATAGCATTGCACCTTTGTGCACATATGACAACACCCCTGGGGTACTAGGTGGAGTTTCGCCAGGTCCATGTTATTCCTCGGAAACAGCACTAGGTCCTTGTAGTTCCGTAAGACACATCATGTAGCCCCAGACAGTAGCACAGGGCGTTCTTACACTTGCGTTGGTTGGGTGCCTATTCCATGCGCGCATCACGAGGCAATTAGAGTCAGCAGTTTTCACGCAACCGTAATGTCTTTCTGCGCGGGATTCAGAGCAAAAGGCAGTGAGTTGAGCATTTGCCATAGTTGCGAACTCGAGGTGGAAAGGGCTGACCTGGGGCATGCTCCCGTCCAGCATCTCCAGCGTCTGCGCCTTGACGTTCCACGTGTTCTACAATCAGATACCATGGATTCTGACAGCTCAGGCCCTGCAGGGACAGGGTTCCCAACGAGGAGATGTCGGGCCGAACCAATGGCATTGACGACGAGTTTCGAATCAAATCCAAGTTGACCTTGACAGAAAGCTTTGGTTGCTTCGTCGGCCACTAGACGAAGCCATCACTGCATGCACGCCTGCGTGCCCCATGGCGTGAGCACGCAGCGCACTTGTGTGTGTGTGAGCGGGTTGCAGGCTCATGCCTTCGCCTGCTCGAGCCAGCTTCTCATCAGCACGTGTCGGTCCCCACTCACCGCTCACCTGATCCAGCCGCGCGGTTCAAGGATGGCTCGGCTTTTTCTGCCATGGAGCATGATTCAGCCCAGGTCCAGTTGCGCCACGTCGTCTTCATAGCACTGGGGTCGCGGGGCGATGTGCAGCCTCTCTCGGGCGGACGGTGACGGGGTGCAGATTTATTGGGAGGGCATGGGGAGATGTCATTTCCCATATTCTCCGAGACGCGGGGTTGCACTGCAGGGCCGCCTTACAGTTCAAATGGGTTGCGCAGGAGCACGATGCTCAGGAGCCACGGCTATCTAGAGGCTTTGCTGAAACGGTTGCGGCGGCGGGGTGCAGGAAGCGCCGTCATTTGCACAGACAGTTCCGTGTTTTCTGGTGTGTTGACGGGGCTCGTGCTGAAGGCTGGTTCGGAGATGCTCGTAGGAATACTGTGCCATGCCCTTTTTAGACAGAAGCTGCAGCTGCTTCTCCTGCTCCGCAGCGCGCCTGCAATGCTTTGCTGGGCGGCGGCGCGCCTCGTGTGGCTGGCTATGGTGTGCCTGGTGCGCTGTCGTGTCTGGTGTGCTTGGCGTGCCTGGTGTGCACGCGTGGCGTGCCTCCTGTGCCTGGCGGGCTTGGTCTGCGTGCAGATGCCAGCAGGGAGGACGCGAAGGAGGGGGAAGAGGGGAATGGCGTACTTCGGGGGAGGAGGGGGAAGGAGGAAGAGGAGAACGAGCATAATGAGGAGTATGAAGGATTATCGCGCCCGATCTGAAACTCGCCGGCCGAAGAGGAGTTTCGGGCAACGGGGTGGGGAGGCGGCTGGAGGAGGGAGACATAACATCATGATATATATATATATATATATATATATATATATCGAGCAGCAGCAACGTGTGCCCAAGAATCGCGCTGATTTTTGGGCACACGGTCTGGGGGTTGCTCGCGTAGTGTCAGTGCGTTTTCACGTGAGTGTCATTATGTTTCGCGCATTCTCGCTTAGTAGAGACGCGCCGTTCTGCGGCTTTGGGGCTGCTTTTTGGTGATTTCCCCACGCGGGGGTTGGGCCGCCTTTGGGTCGTCTTGGGCCGTCTTCACGACTTCCTCTTTATCCCCCTGCTGTTGCGGTTTCTCCTGTGTCTTGTTTTTTGCTGTACCGCGGCATTATGTACCTCTCCATGTTGTGTTGTGCCGTGCGTTGTCCGGGGGGCCTTGTTGGGGTCTAGGGCAGCCAGTTTCTTCAGTGTTAACGTTGGGGTTTTCACTATCGTTTCACAACTCGTGTTTTGTACTTCTCTCGCTCCCCTCCCACACTTGAGTATTTCAGGCTTTGAGGCGTTATTCGTTGTTCCGAGTGCCAATGTGAAGAAATTTGGTTCTGATTCGAATTTAGCCTTTCCTCAAATTGCAATTTCGCATTATTTTCGGATTGTCTGTCTGGGTATCTGACGCTCAAACTTTTAATATTGAAATGGTCAAATCTTGAAATATGAAGCACTCGGTACGCAAGGGGGCAGCCCTGGTGAGCGTGAGGAACTGCACCGTCCATGTTGAGCTTGGCTGCAGTTTCCCTCCCCAGTCAGGCCCCCCCCCCTTCGTCACCGCCCGCCCGACTCTCGCGATCCTTGCCTCCAAGACCGCCGCCTCGTCGCCGCAGCTGCGGGTCACGCTCGTGACGCACGCGGAGCTCGAGCACGCACTCCGCGAGGGCGGGGCAGACGCGCTGCTGCAGGAGAACGTGGCGCTGAGGCGCCTGGCCGTGCCGTGCTTCATGGAGGCCCCGCGAGCGCCAGCACAGTCTGCCGGAACGCCCTGGAGTGGGGCCCCAGCGCAGAATCTGCCGTGCATTCTGGACGTTGGCGGTCAGCGTCGTGCCGAGTGGATCGCGGCTGCGCTGCACGCCAAGGACGCGGACGTGCTGGTGGGTAATGATCGGTGCTTTGCACTCCGTGTCTCTGGGCCCGAGGTACATTTCCTGGTGTCTTGATTGTCGGGCCACAGTACTCACGACAGTCATTACCACAGTCCTTGCCACGTTCCAGGTTCCGATGCCTTTGCCACACTCATCGGAGACTCTAGCCTGAACCCTATACCAACATCCCCCGTTTGCTGTTTGGGACAGTGCTCGATCGTGCGGCAAAAAAGACCCAGCGAGACAGACGGGGGGACCCCGTCAGCATTCAAGCAGCGAAGCGAGGGCATGAAGGAATTCATGGGTTGACAGGTTGAAGTGCAAGGGACGTGGGAGAGGGCGACATACCTGGCATTATTCTTCGCGGCTTCCCTGTCTGGAAGCGGTGGATCTATCCTAGATGCTGACGCCATTCCGCCGACATCTTGAATGTGTAGCATTCGCGATCATGTCCAGGGTGGTTTGGGTTCCCTTGGTCAGGGCCCAGTGGAAGAGGAGGAGGAGGGGAGGGAGGAGGAGCGTGATACGAGGAGGAGTGACAGAGGGGTGGGAGGAGGAGTGACACAATCCTTGGATGTTGTGTGTAGGTCAGGCCTTGACAGTAGGAATTATTGATGCTCTGCGTATCCCATCACCCCGTCGAGAAACGATTCGTTAGCGAGTTGCCGAGTAGAGGAGTATTCGCGAAGCCAACAGGAGGAGGGACACCAGCTCGAACCGAAGTTGGGGTGAGCCTGATGAGCATTCAGCAATACAAGGTGCCTTTCGGGGGGCTATTGGATCCATTGTGGGAGATCTGGGGACTCTCTTGGGGCCATCCTGGAGGCCGTCGGCCGACAAGGAATGCGGCTTTGACCAGCACCCCCGTGCATTTGACCGGCAATGCCTTCTTGGCATTTCCCCTGGAGGCGATCATGTAGGTTGGAATGCGTTGGCCTTCTTGGCCCCATCTTGGAACTTTACTGGGCCAAAGTGAGACCTCGCAATCAAGTCGACAGCCCCTCCTCGAGAAGGCAGACGTACTTGAAGAATTGTTGTGCGTGCTATGAGCTCAGCGTTTCGAGAGCATCCTAGGGAGGCTCCGTGGCCAACTCGAGCCGTCTATGGAGATGCCCCTGGGGCCTCCTTGGAGCCATGCTGGAGGCAATATTGAGCCATGTTGGGCTCTCTTGCGAAGTCGTGGATAGTTGTTTCCATAAGGCCATCTTGAGGCCTATTGTCACCGCTCACGGCCCCCAGCATGCAGACTTCGGGGGTGGCAAAGTATTCCCGAAGAGTAAGGCGGGGTTGTGTTTGGCGAGTGCTCGTCCCATATGTAAATTATTGTGGTTGTTGCAGCATTTCCATTTCAGTCTCACCTCCTCCTGCGCCTCGCTTTCACATCCCTTGCACTGCCGCTGCTCTGGATCGCAGGGCCCTTGAGCTACTTGGCGCGCTGGCCGCGGGCGCGCGCGAACCCCCGTATAAGGAAAGGGAGCGTGCTCTCTCTTCGCGCGGGTCCCCCTACTTGTACTTCGTGTCTCTGCATTTTATACAACTACTCCCGTATATTCCACAGTGGCAGCGGAACCCGTAGTTTCGATCCGGAAGGGAGTCCGGCAGATTTCCCCGCCACCCGATTTTCGGGTGACATACATACCCTTTTTCCCGTTCCTACCGCTTCCCACCCTCTTTCGCCGAGCACCGCCATGGAAAACCAAGCCGACGCTCAGCTACCAGGAGAAGAACTTCCGGATGATCCCTGATTTCAGCCAGGCCAGGATCCATGGGCAGGAAGCGGAGGACGAGGAGACGTTCCTTGGGATTGTGATGACGAAGTGGGCTGGTCAGATGATGACTGGGCCCGCTGGTTCGATCAACCAGGGACGGATACACAGTCCCAAATGCGGTCGTTCTCATGAGTTTGGAACCCGCAGGGTTGTGGGTCGCCAGCTGGACCAGCGCGGCTGAATACACTTGTGGGCTGCGGCTGCACCGTTCCAGAGGCTCCGAGTATACCAGCTGAGTTACCTCCCACTTGGAATGGAAAACATCTCGGCGCTCCTGTATGTTTTTCTTTTGAAGGAACTGCAGATGAGGCCAACGGCTGCTAGGATTCTGGGCGACGCGGATACCTCATCTATCGCTGCGCCAAGGACGACTTCAGCTGCATTAGCAATGAACTCGCCGAGAAACAGCTATCCGCATAGGACAGCGGGCACGTAGTGGTCAATCATATCAACAAGGCTTTCGCCGAACATCAAGACCTCGGGGTGCCAAAGGCATTTGAGAAGCTGCTTTATTCGGATGCTACGAAGCGCATTCGAGATGAATATCGCCCCAACGACATCGCTCGCAAGCGAGTGCTTTCCCAAGAATCCGAGAAGCATGTCAGTCGACCATCCGAGTTGCGTGGATCTATGCTTCCCAGAAAGTCCAAGCTCAATGACGCCGCTTGTGATATTACGATTTTGCGTTGGTCAGTGAGAAGCTTCGTAAGCTGGAACGCTCATTGCCCCCAGGAAAGGCTGCCATCGCATCCATGGAATGAGTTCTCCGTTGCATGCCATTGGCTACCAGGGAGGCGAAGGAGGGCATGTTGAACGGGAGTCTGATCACGAGGGCGTTCATATGATTTGCCGCGCAACGGTCGTTGTCTACCTTGCCAGAGGTCCACGAGGAGGACAGGGTTTTGAACGCCGGTTACAGTCGAGCCCGACAACGTTTGCACAATCGGAAGCTTCGGCGAGGCATCTCCATGCAGTCTCCTCCGAAAGGCAAGTTCAATGGCTCCTGCAAGGGAAAGCGTCGAGCGGGTGGGGGGCAGCGGAGTGGACGCGCTCGACCGATGCGTCGGGCCAATAACAGGCCGACGAGTCGCTCGAAGCGCGCCCGACGCGGGAAGACGGGGCGCTGGGCTCGAGACTGCGCGTGCGAGCCACGCCAGCGAGGGGGGCGACGACGGGCAGGCTTCGGTGTGTTTTTTTTTTTTTTTTTTTTGTCAAACTACCTCTCTTGAAGCAGACGCTGCGCCACAGGACGCCTGTCAAGAGGAAGATGCGACGCTGCCAGAAGTCAGTCATGTTGCCGTCGGTGCTTTCGCGACAGCGGACAACGCTGGGAGGGCCTCCATCGGACGCCAGTTTCAGGTGGGCTTCGGTTTGGTGGGCGCTGGAGCTCAGCGTGGAGTCTGCGGCAAAGGCCAGTTGAGAAAATAATGATATCTGTGATATACTTATGGCCTGAAGCCCGTCCAGGCATCGACTCTTGAGATGGACGCCGTGGGCGTCGGCGAATCTACGCAGTTTCTCTCCGGTCGGACCTTGCCTCTCGGCGTGGCGAAGAACTGCGGTCCCTTCTCAGCGCGCTTGATGGCAATGGGTGCGCCACTTCTGCTTCCAGTAGATGCCCGGGCAGCTCGGCGCGGCCCCCGGCCTGCCAGGGGGCGTCGTCGCTTCGGGGGCACTCGACGGCAGTCGGTCGAGGGCGTGCGAAGTCGGCACAGGCAGACGCACAGTGCTCAATATATGTGATGCCCCGACGATGGTCGGCAGAGGAAGGAGAACATCACGACCGCATTTCCGAATATTCGGGGGCATTGCCAAGTTGCGGGTCCTGAAGATGCCGCGTTCTACGTGAATCCGCAGGCCTCTTCGGCTCGAAACAGTTTGTCTCAGCCGACTGCCGCCCCCCCGGACATCTCTCGCGACGTCGGTCCGCGCGGGGGGCGTCATCGCCGAGACGGGGCCGCAGGCGGAACGCCGTTCGAACGCCGCGAGGCCTGGTCAGCCCTGATGACTCCAGAGGAGCGGGCGCGGAGATGATACCACCTGCGCCTCAACCTTCTGGCCGCTTTGGACTACGTGGCCACAGAGCGCCGCGCGGAAGCGCGCATCGGCGCGAACGCCTACGAGAGCTTGCTCGGGAAGGCTGGGGGCATGGACAGCGACGCCGCCCGGTCCGCGCTTCAGCTTCGGGACCCGAGACCATTCACCCGAGTCTTGAAGAGGGTCGCGTGGGAGTGGTTCGCGGTCGGCGAGAGGCTGCTACCAGACAGCGCCAACACAAAGAAAACGGCCAGGCTTTGCGCCCCCATCCCGAGAACGCCGCGCGTCGGCGGGGCAACGCCGAGGTCCGCTTGTGGACGCGCGACGAATGCCAGACGCGCTGGGCGAAGCACCCTGTCGACGTCTTCTACAGCAAGGCCGCTGCTGATATGACGTCTGCTGGCGCCCTGCTGTCGTGCATTTTGTCCCCGGAGCACCTGTCTCTGTCAGGTTGGGCAGCTTATTTCTCCAGGCGCTACTAATGCGAGTCTGGCCGGTCCAGTCTTTGGCAAGCGCGCGGCTGTGCTTGAGGGCACTCCGCGCGGATCATGGCAGCCTGCCGTTCCGCGGGGCTCGCTCGGGGCAGCCGAGGTCCGCCGGCGACAGCGGCGGCAGATTTTGCGTCGCGTCGGACCGCCATCGCAGCTCGATGGGGACTGCACATGCACGTTGCCTCAGTATCTCAGGCGAAGCAGACCAAGCAGGCACTTGCAGCAAATAATGTCTCAGCCCCCCATTGGAGGCAGCTCCTGAATAATGTTGGCCTGGACAAATTCCCTCGGGTGACCTCAGCGCCGAACCTGGCGGCGGCGACGAGGCACCTGCTCGGCCTGGGGCCGGTCGCGCGCGGCGGGCCGGCTCGCCGATCTCAAGCTTGCCCGCGATAGTGATGGCCACCTTGGCAATCGAGCGTTTGCTCGACTTCTGAGGCGGGGCGACGCCGAGCCTGCGCGCTGGGTGCTGAAAAAAGACAAGTGCGACGCGTGCGAAGCGCACAAACGACCCTATGCTAGTCGTCGTGCTGCGGTCCCCAAGTCTGTTCGATTCAATCAGGTTGTTGACGTTGGTTTGATTGGGTCAATGCCATCTGCTGGGGCACATCGTTTCAGTTGGTTGGTCATGTGGGGGCAGGGAAGTCAGCTGAGGTAGCATGTCAAGCATATGTGCGCACGTGGGCACGTGCATGTGTCATGCCAGAGGTCGTCGCCGTGGATCCT